TTTTGCAAAAAATCCCATAAATAGCAAAAACAAAATTCACACTTCTTCTTTTTTAAAATATATGAAAAAAAATTAATACCCAGTGAATATATATAAACAATTGCTTTCTCTAAACATTATTCATTATTCTTATTTCCCGTCTATGCGTTTTTGAAAGTACCCGTCTTTCTGTGTTTTGAAATGGTAGTCATAACATCCTTTGTTGTAGCAACGAAATGAAAACATGAAGGATATAAATTATTTAGCATTTTACGAAAAGCTCCCCCAAATAGATGACGATCATGCATTTACTCGTTATGTTTTTAGGAAATATATTTATTATTTATTTTAATTTTCATAATATTTGTGTTACTAAATAATGTATTTATTCGTATTTCAATACTTTGAATAAAAACATGAGTAGGTATTTCTCTTGTTGAAATAGAAAACAATTCCTAAATCACGACAGTATTAATACCGACAAGATTATATGCCTTCATTCTAGTAATCGTTTCCTTCAAATAATTGGGACCTTTCTTGAAACTGTTCAAAGTGCGTTGGAGGGAGGTACGTGTTGTGTGTTGTTACCGGTTCCACTTATTGTATGCGCAGCAAACTATGCGCGTTTGCAGACAACTGTAGACAGGAGTCGAGTTTAAAATATTCGTCCTCCACCGTTGAAGATTTCAATCTTAGCTAAGATCACGATCTTAACTCCAAGCCGTCTTACAATCGCGCTAAGATCGTTTTGTGCAAGTGGAATAGGACAATTGTATGGTGAATGTAAAGTTGATTGTAGCCGCCTAAGATCGATTGTAACTAAGATTGTTCTGTGCAAGTGGGCCCTGGACCTGGATGACCCATTCATCTCTCACATTCTCAAGAAAGGGACCGCCTCAGTGGTCTAGTGGTAGAGCGGAAGGTCCGGGATTCGATCCCCAGCCACGTCATACCAAAAGACGTTAAAAGATGGTACTTGTTGTTAACCAGTCTGGCCCTGGGCATTAAGGGGCTTAAACAAGGACTGGTTGGCTCGGAGACAGTATACTGTGTCTGAGTGGGGTATTCAGGTTAAATTGTGGCATGGTATCTCAGTGAGCTGGCACTATAAATCGGCATCAGTCCGCACTAGTACAAGCAGCCACACACACACACATACATACACACGTGCATGCATGTCGCTATATAATTGCTATAATCTTGGACATTAAACCCAATTTTACCTCACCTCACCAAGAAGGGTTACAATCTAGCCATACGCAAGGACCACCCCTTCCCTCTTTCTCCACTAATTGTTCAGTATTTCAAGTTTCGTTTATTCTACAACGTTCAAAATCTATCATCAAAAGCCTGACAAGTTAAGAATGATCAACTTACCACAACAAAAGTACATGATAAAATAGGATGATTATCTCGTAAGCATCGACCTTCATGATGCTTACCTTCATGTCCTCATTTACTGAGCCTCTAGGAATTACTTTTCCTATACTAAGGGCAACATTACCAATGGACAGTCCTGCCCTGTAAAGTCCAATGGTTGCTTATATGGGTGAGTAAAGCAATCATGGCTTTTCTGTGCAACAGGATCTATTGCACCTTCTCTCTGGACGACAGAATTCAAGCTCATCAATTAGTAGAGCTACTCAAACATCAACTTAACTTCATTTTGAAATTTCTGGTGTCCCCCGCCGTGATAGTGCTGGAATATTGCTAAAAGCGGCGTAAAACCATACTAACTCACTCATTTTGAAATTATTAACCCAAGTAGGATGGTTAATCAACTATCAGAAATTAGATCTTCAACCGTCCTAAGATCTCAAGATCCTAGGCATAATATATCTGACAGGGCAGAAGGATCGGTGGATCAAAATTCAGCATTTTCCAGCGGCTATTCCCAAACGGATTTCAGTCAACCAATGGCAAGTGACATTAGGGCTACTCATGACTGCCCATTTGTTGACAGTATGGGGCAGACTACATCGTCCCATTCAGAGGTTCCTGAAACCGTTCTTAAACCATCAACAACTCGAGATGTCTCAAGAAACACCTCCAAACTTGGACACCCAGGTCAAATGATCGAATTCATACACTACTAGGTTGGGGACTCAACTTCAAATCGGAAGTAGAGTCAGAGCTGTAGTCTGAAGAAAAAAAGCACTTAAACATCAACCAATAAAAGTTTGAGGAAGAAATCTGTGCAATATCTCTTTGGACACCACAGTTGAGAGATAAGGGTCGACATGCTCGACTTCTGAGGTTAACATTTCAACTGTACGATCTCACAGATAGGTTTGAATCTGAGGATAAAAAAGCAAGACACATTCCATCAGTGTCAAATGTACTAACAGACGCCCTATCCATGTCATCCAAACCGTCGCCCACAGAATGGATGCTACATCCAGGAGCATTCAAACTGGTGACAAAAGCAGAAGTTTACCTATCAGTAGACTGGTTCGCAATCAGGTTCAACAGACAGATAGCAACCTTTGTTTCCTTAGTACCAGACTCATATGCTTGGGCCAACGACGCACTGGCAATATCATGACTTCATGTACATGTATGCCTTCCCTCAACCAGCACTGCTACCCCTGATATTACAGAAGATCATGCATACAAGAACCTGCAACTGCTTTGCATTGTGCCCTATTGGCAAGTGAGAACATGCTATCCAGACTTCTTCTTCGTCATTACAGGAAAACCAACTCTAAAGCTCCTGAACTTGTCAAATCATCTCCTACATTCTCATTCAAAGCAAGTTCATCCAAGACCGGATCTTTACAAGCTTCATGTATGGAGCATATTACAAACAGTCTCACAAGATGAGGATACCTGACCAGGGCACCTAAGGTTCTTTCCTCAGCCCTCTGCAGATCTATGAGGAATTTATATGATGACAAATGGAAGAGTTTTGACCAGTTCACAAGATCTAAAGGATACACAGCATCTAAAGCTACTTCACCACAGGTATCCTATTTCTTATGTCATCTACGGAGCAATAGAAATCTTCAAGGGTTCAGCTTTAGGCACTTACTTGCCAGCTATGAGCTCCATCAAACTTCCTAAAGTTCCCTAATTGATAGCCCTGTTGAGATCTTACAGAATTGAGGATCAACAAAAGTAATTTAGAGCAATGGTTATGAACTATTAGGACAGGCTGACTTCGAACATCTGACACAATAGACTTTATTTCTTCTGCCACAAGCCACGACAGCCAGAATTCATTGCAAAGAATCAGCTACTTGGGCAACCAGATAGACAATTTCATGTCATGGTGTTCTCATCCTTTCTGGGATCAGAGGACACTAAAGACTTATCCATATGCCCAGTTAGGGCCTTACATATCTATCTTCAAAGAACAACTTCTAGAAGACAATTATTAAAGAAACTATTTATCTCTGTATCAAGGAATCATTCATCTGAAGTCTTGAGAACAACAATCTCCTTCTGGGGGAGAGCAGTTATACTCAGAGCCTACAGGGCAGCCGGACTGGATCTACCTGCACCCACACAATAGCTTCTGCTCTAGCGCTTCACAGTAACTGCTCTATCCAGACCATTATGGAGGATTGTTTCTGGAGATCTGACACTGATTTTGCGAATCATTATCTCAGAGATTTCGCCACAGGAGATGTTGCTGCTTTTCATCGATTTGGACATTTAGTAGTTGCACAGAAAGTAACAGTACCACCAGAAGATAGACTACAGCTACACTTACACACAATCAGGTTGACTTGATGTCAGGTTACTGTTCCTTATCCACAGATCTAGGGTCTATGTTCCATTGTTTAACTACCTAATTCAGAGCATGGGTGATAACGATTGTGTTAAGTTGATGTCCTTCTCTTAATCTTAATCTTAATCTATAATTGTTTTAAAGCAAACTGGAATTATTTCTATGCAAGCCTTATCAAACCAACGAAATCATAAGATCTGCTCCTTTTTAACGAAAAAGGAAGTGGTACCCCACCATAGACAGAAGAAGATCCAACCTAATGTCTAACCCATGGGGTTTACAGAACAGGTCACGACTGAATCACAAAAGCAGGTGGGACAGACAGCCAGCTGTGAGATTCAAACAATTAGTAGGAGTCAGGATAAGGTAAAAAATATAACTCATACTTATCCTGACTCATACGCTAGAGTACCCTCCTAGCTGATCTCCCCTGATTTGTTTCCAGACCTTTAAATAGGAAAATGTAGACAGTGATGAGCCAACCCAAAGGTCAGGTGGTTCGGGTGTGCCTACACTGGACAGAGGCGTGTTCAGGTAGGATGTTTTTTTATGTTCTCTGGGAACACAGCACAGGAAGTTCCCACCACTTTTCAGAAATAAGAAGAGATAAGCAATTAGTATGAGTCAGGATAACTATAAATGGTATTTTACCCTAAAATGTATTTTTTGAATAGCATTTTAGTGGATTATGTTATAATGTAATCTTAGTAAACAACTAAAAGAAAGATGTGTGTCAAGTGGAGATGTGTGTGTGTTTGTTCTGATTTCTGCATTTGGCACTTTCTCTTGTTTTCAAAAATGTAAATATGTTATGTGACTATTTTAATCCTTTAAATTGTACCCAAGCATGATTGAGCTTCACTATAAGTAGATATATATTGTTGAAGTTAACAACCATCGGATTTGCTAAATAATACCTATATATAAGTTAAAGTGTGGACGGGTGTCTAATTTAAAAAACTCTTATATTGTAAAAATGATTTATCTCTTTCCTGTCGCATTACACAAAGGCTTTTCACTTGCATTATAAACTATAGTTAGAGTGCTTTAATGTAGGTATCTGAAGACACTGACATCACTACAGAACATAACTGAATTCATCTTTTTATGTCAAAGCATAAGTATGAACTAAGCCGTCCCTGCAAGTCCTTGTGTATTGTCATGTTTCTTCATATGATTATCGCTGATACATTCTGTATAGTCCTTTGACAGTTACCACGGTTACGTCTTCATTCATGTTAACACAAATTATCAAGAGAAAAGGGTGGACAAAGCAAACAAGATTGTGTTTAAGTGGTTCAATATGTAATTATGTTAAACACTGATCCAGCTATACAATGCATCAAGTTTCAGTAATAGCATCAAGTTCATCTTTGTGTTTCCGGTGTATGCATGGCTATATGTCTGCGCAGGTCACTGTTCCCGCGGAAGATCTTGGCACACACTCTGCATGAGTACAGCTTGTCATTGGAGTGGGTTAGCAGATGTGTCTTCAGGTTGCTCCGCTGACTGAAGGACTTCTCACAGCGTGGACACGAGTGACCGGATAAACTCTGTAGTTATACAAAGAAACAATACTAATGAAAAGCGAAATATTTACATGTTGATAAAAACCTCATTAATCATTACTTGTTAAGCGGTCTAGCTATCTAACTTGTCAGTCGCCATTTTGAAAATATCATATAATATACCAGCAATATCATGGCATGGCACACCAGTAATGGGCTTCACACACTGTACCCATGTGGGGAATTGAAGCCGGATCTTGGACTTGACGAGCAAATGCTTTTACAACTACCGTATATCGCTGTGTATAAGGCGAGTTTTTCGTACCTAAAATGAGGGGGCTAAGAAGGGGGGTCGTCGGCTACCCCACCGACCGCTTTTTGAAAATAATCAGTCCACTGGAAATTGATCTCTATCTGATGTATGCAGTATGGGACCATTATACACAGTTTCAGTATAGGATTGCTTTATTAGGTCTGTGGAAAGGTATTAATTATCATTAATAATGACTAGCTATATTGAATCTCTGCATAATGGCCTCATGCTGCCTACATCGGATAGCAAAAACTTCCATAGCGACCTGTCTACGATAGACAGTATTTGAATAAAGGTCAGCTTGAACGGTTGACTATCAGTCCTGACAACTGACACACAATTGCAAAAATTTGCCATTCCACAGATTGTAACTGTTACCATAAATGCCTACTTTGCAACTTTCCACCATTTTGCGGAATCGTGTAAGATTAATTTGCAGCAACATGGTTTGCAGTTTGTATATAGTTCACCTGCATATGAAGAGCCTTGTGAACAGCAAGTGTACGGGACTGACAGAAGCCCTTTCCACACTCCATGCACTTGAAAGGTTTCTCTTTGGAGTGGATATACCTGAAAAGCAACAGTTGAAAGCATGAATCTCTCTCTGGAACATTGTCCAGGAAGTCGTATTAAGAGAAATGAAATCCTAAATCCAGAATATGTTAGGAGTTATGTAAGTTAAGTCAAAAGCATAGTAAAAACCCTTATATCTTGAGCAGGAATATGGATTCATATACGTCCAGGATGGAAAAATAGGATATTGCATGTGATTGGAATTACAATAGATTTTGCTTGGTTGCAATGTATACAAACACTAAAATGGTGTAAATACTAGGGCTGGTCAAAACGTTCTAAGCCTGACTAACTTTCAACTATGGGCCATAACAAAGTGAACTGGTCAATGTAGTACATTGTTTGAGTAGTTCATTGCAAGTGTATTTGGTCTGAGGCCATTTGTGTACTAGTGACAGCCAGTTGAACATGATAGGGGTCCAAATGGACATAGAAATGAAAAGAACTGAGCAGTCATCAAGTTTTTGAGAAAAGTACTCGCCAAGACATTCATGACACAAGTATATTGAGATGAGTGCCCTAGCTATTCCACTGTTACACGTTGGGCAGCTATGTTTAAGACTGGCAACATTCCACTTCTCCGGCACCAAAGAAGTTCAAGTCTTCAAGATTAGTGAAGAAATTTATGACCACTGTATTCTGGGATGCAAAGTGTGTGATCCTTGCGGATTACTCAAGATGTCAAAAGACGATTACCAGTGGATACTATGCTGATTTGCCTCATCCTTCGCCTAAGAGAACCAATCAAAGAAAAGCAGTGAGGAATGCAGACTGTGGAATCATTACAATGACTCTTCTCACACCTCTCAACTTGCAAAGGCTGCTGTGCAACAATGTGGGGTCGAAAAGCTTCCTCTCCCTCCATACTCGCCAGACCTGGCACCAATGCATGCAAATATAAAGTCCCATGCCTGTTAAGGTAGCAATGCTTCAGAAACTTTCAGTTATATAACCATATCAAAATCTGAATGATGACCTTGACATGATAAATGCATTAATACTTTTTGAGAAATTGCACTGTATTTGCTAATTATTTAGTGTCTTTGATAACATTAAAAAGCCCAGATTTTCCTGATTCAATTCCAAATTTTGTGACCACATGTGACCTTGACCTTAAAAGAAGGTAAGAAATCATATAATAATAACATTATCAGAGGTGTATCGGGAGTGAAGTCTCTGACACCTGTAATGTACCTGATTGAGGAAACAATTTGTGGAAGCGGAGCTCAGATTTGAGCAAAACGCATTACACAACTCGAAGGTGGGATACAACGGACCCCTCAACGAGCCAACCCATGATATAAGGGCAGGCAAGTTGGGTTTTTTTCCACAGTCAAGCATAATTAGCGTTTTCAAGAATATATGGGGACAATTTCTTTTTTTTCTATACAATCCCTTACCATCAGTCTGAGCTGCTCCCTGTCACACATACCTTTATTTCACGTTTTAAACAGAGATACAACCTTTCAATGAGATAAGTATACCTTAATCTAAACAAGGTCGTATTAATTAGGAGATAAACATTACGTCCGTTCCAGTTCGTGGCAGGTGCAGTTCGGTCCTCCCCAAATCTATATTCTCTGAAAACCAAATGCACCGAATAACATCTGGTATACACATATTGGTTTACAACACGCCTGGGAGTCCATAGCGAGTAATAGGGGTTAGTATCGAGACATGGAGAATGAGAATAAGACTTTCTCCCGCCCACGATGCACACAAGAGATCAGCCATGTTTGAGTGTATACCCTGTGGACGAGATGGGACCGAGGCACAGGGGTGAGTTATCGACTCATGGAGACATTTATAGTGCTTTACAGTAAAGCGAGTCTGAGTTCAGTTGTGCTTCTCACACATTGTCAGTTGTTGTTATCAGGTGACATAGAGCTTAACCCGAGAACTACAAGCCAAACCCAAATCCAAGATGGCATTTCAGGGAAAGATGAGATTTTACACAAACTTCGAACGATGAAAGGTGAGCTGTTCAGAGAAAGAGAGACATTAGAGCGGATACCAGGATAATAAACAGGTGTGTGAATAAGATACAGATTGACATACATAATATGCCAGCATCAAATACTACGATCTTAACGCTGTTGTTGAACAAATAGATGGTACTGAAAATAACTCGGTTCCAGTTGACCAAACTTCATATGGAGATCTGACAAGAAACGTGCAAGACAATGAAGATGTGTTGACAAATTGGAGCAATACAGTCAAATGCAGAATATCTTGCTTTATTGAATTATAGAGAAGGCACCTTGGTGTTGATGACATTGATTTATTTACAGACAAGGACATTAGGATTGGTGTAGCTTATTCTTATTCATTATTTGCTTTAGCTCAATAGACAAGAAGATTAAAGTGATTGGTCTACATCCACAACTGAATGAGAATGGCTGTGGGGTAGTTAACGACCTTACTAAAACACAGAGAAAGGTACTACAGAACCTGCGACTCAACAATAAGAGAGACTATTATAACAAGCATGAAATAATCATATCCCCCGCCAATATGACATGTCCGGTTGTGTGCAATGCATTAGCTCATGTGAACTATGTTCACTAAGCCTTTTTGTGAATGGCCTGATTGCAGCACTAAAGAAAGTTATTACTGGTGTTGTTTTGCCATCTGAAGTAATGGATATGTAACATATGGATTAACAACTTCTTTATTACAATTAGGAGCGACGTTTAGGTGTAGGTTCTAACACTGTTATCAAGCAAGTGAAGTACAGAGTATGGTTGACAAGAATATGTACAGGATAGGAGGCAGTGTTTATACAGTTGAGTAAGTTTAAGATCAGTTACACTGTTGTATTTGTAATGAGTTGTGTTATTACTTAAACAATAATCAGAGAAGTAAGGGAGTTCTTGCTTTACTTAGAGATCATTGAGAGTAGTAGACTGGAGTCTGGAATGCTACAGCACTGGCATGATCAGTAAATCACAAGTCCAGTGTAACTCCAAGACAGTGAGTTGAAGAGTGAAGGAGTTGGAGTCATTTTCCGCATGTAGCAGGGCGTGGAGTCATCCCACAGATGACATCCTTACCTTGTCAGCTTGCTGACGGGGTTAACCTCTTTGGTCATGTCGACAAGGTGTCCGACCTCAGATCAGAAGGTCCGTGGTTCAAATCCCATCACAGGACATGGAAATTTTATGGCCACTACATGCACATTAAAGAAATCTTCAAGTTTCAGTTTTTCACTCAGATCACAGTTGAAATCACAGTAACTAGGACATGTTCACATTTATGATGCTTGGAGAGATCCTGAAGTTTCTGCATGAAGTTAGTAAGTGAATGCGTCCATGACACTTTTGGAGGAACATACACACAAGCAATGCAGAACTTGCCAACAAGAAAGGAAATGTATTCAACACTGCGAGATGACATAATGTGCCAAGTTTGGTGAAGAAATATCATACGGTTTTCAAGATCTGCTCCGGAAACGAGGACTACCACCATTTTCAGTCTAAGTCAAAGTTGTTGCCATGGAAACTCGAAAAATATAATTTTAAATATTAAAGGCTATTTTATTGGTAAGATTGCTGTGTATATTATCCTCGACAAAAACTTTTTTGGTGTGGAAAAAGATTCTTGTCGCATGTGTATATATCCATCTCGATGGATCAACAAGGTATGTCAATGAGACATGTATTAGTATAATTCTTGTGAATACCCTACCTCTATTACATCATAGCCATAAATTCCTGTTTTGTGCAGTGACAACAAAACAATTGAGTACGATCAAATGTTTATTATATACAATACTTGGCATAAGATTCAGGTAACTTACGCTGCTGGTAAGTTGTATAAAAAGGCAGCTATGCGGGTTGCCTAAGTAAATTTGAAATATATATGAAAATGACTTAGAACCCTGCGGGTAGATCTAAAAAGATAAAATGAAAATATGTAGAAAGGGTGATACCCTGCGGGTATGAGTGAAAATGAAAATACTTTGGCGGCCGCAAGCCATATAATGATAGTTTACAGAATGATTGGCTTGCAAAGACCCTTCCGAGCCAGCCCCTTGGTGGAGATGGGGATGGATGGAGGGTCGTAATGACAGCTGAGAGAACAATGGAAACAGCTGAATGACATTGAGGCTCTTGTTAATATAGAAAAACAAAATGACGTCACATCCGTAGTACTGCACATGCCCGGGGAAAAATATTTTGCATTCTGGGATAGAAAATAGTAACCTGATACAGAGAAGAAATGTGATCGTTTACAGACGATTCTGAATGATAAATGACAACTGGAAATAAATGGAAAAACCTTACGTAGGTGACAAATATATACATCTGTTGTGTAGACATCAATGTTAATAATAGGTGAAAGGATATGTTGATCACTGCACAAACAAAAATATAAAATTAACATTTTGTGCAGTGACAACAAAACAATTGAGTACGATCAAATGTTTATTATATACAATACTTGGCATAAGATTCAGGGGCTGACTCGGTGTTGGAAAGGTAACTTACGCTGCTGGTAAGTAGTATAAAAAGGCAGCCCTGCGGGTTGCATAAGTGAATTTGAAATATATATGAAAATGACTTAGAACCCTGCGGGTAGATCTAAAAGGAATAAAATGAAAATATGTAGAAAGGGTGATACCCTGCTGGTATGAGTGAAAAGGAAAATACTTTGGGGGCCGCAAGCCATATAATGATAGTTTACAGAATGATTGGCTTGCAAAGCCCAAAACGAGGTAAAAAACTGACAGCACCCAAAGTGATAAGAAAGTATAAAAATGAGTGATGAGTGAAGATGATAATGTTAAATATATACATATGAGAATTAAATACTGAATCCAATGAGTTATAACATCCAAGTAATGTTACAGAACTAGATTGAATGGTGTCAGGAAGCTCTGATGAGTGTTAGTAGCACCGATAGGAATAACAGTTCAGTCATGTAGGTTGAGGCATTTGATTAGAAGCAGAATAATGTAAGTCATAACACACACGTTGGTCAAGCCTCTAATGGAA